CACGCGATATATAATCGATATAATAATTTTTCTTTTGTGAAAAGTTTTCTACGAAAATCATTCATACATTGTAACCATTTAATCGTACGTTTTAAATAAAAACACACAATTGTTGTTTATTTGAAACGTACGAAATTCTAGGTAGACGAAATGTAAACGTATATACGATTGGTTTACAATTACACACAAAAAAAAAAAAAAAAAAAAAAAAAAAACAAAGAATATTTAAAAGTAATCAATGAAACAAGATTTTACGGATGGAAAAGATTAACAGATGTGCTAAGGGCACACGTAGGAATAACGTTTATTCAATTAGACTATGAGAAATTGAATTAACGAATCTTCGAGAGGAGGGTTAAATCCTTCCCCTACCATCTTTCGTTCCCTTCTCTTCTTTCATCCTTCTCGTCCAATCCTTCCCTTTCCATCAAAGTAAAAAGCGGTTAAGTAAAGTCTCGTTCAATTTCGAAGTGAAGCGGGAAGATGTATTCCGCGCTAAATGTACTATTACTTTCATTATCGGATTAAGCAGCTGCAGTGCTCGCACAGCAAATTCGAATAGTTACGCTCGGTGCAAACTTCGTTTCGTTTCAAACAATATTACAGTGCGGACAAAGCGGTCTAATTTGCTGTGCAACAAATCCTTTCATTGATGCAGACTATTACGAACAAATGTTTTATTACCATTGATTATCATTGATATAATCGATTATTAATTATTACGATACGATACAACGATCGTGAATATTTTTATACGCTTTAATATATCTGCATTTCTATAAAAGAACAAATCGTGTTACAATGACTTTTCATTGTTCGATTTAAATATATATATAAGTAGGAAAATATAAATTTATCATTATCATTTACCATTTTATCTCACAATCTCTGCTATGTATATATCTACGTGAGAAATTGAATCTATCAAAGAAAATGTTTTTATAAATGTTGTTTGATAAAAACCACGGTCCATCATTCGTGACGCAAATCATTCTTTTTCTTTTTTTTTTTCCTCCCGTTTTTTTTTTTTTTTATTTTTTTTTTTTTTGCAGCAGCAGCAGCAGTAGCAGCAGTAGGTCGACCGATACGTAGAAATTTCAAAGTCAAATTCATTTTTCTTTTGTTTGTTTCTGTTTGTTTGATTTGTTTATTTATTTATTTTTATTTTTTTCAATGGTATCGTATTATCTTTCTATTTTTTTTTCTTCTCTTTTTTTTTTTTCTTTTTTTTTTCTTTTTCATAGTATCCCACTGGCACTCGTTGAGATGAACAACCCCACAAGTAAAAATCCATCGGATTTTAAGTCCAGGATTGAGGGTGGGAACTGACCAGGCAATAGGACCTCCATGGGCTATCCATTTGTTAGAAAATGGACACTACGTCCATCCAACGAAAGAATTATTGCAATACAATGTATACATATACTATATACTATATATATATATATATATATATATATATATATATATACCCGGAAACAAAGTCAAATAGGGCATACGTTTATACGAACTTTTTTATTCATTGTTTTTATGTGCCGAAACCATCCCTAAAATGTTTCCCACTTATTTAGATTCTTCCCATTTGTGTATATATGTATACATATATATATATATATATATATATATATATATATATATATATATTGCACGTGTATTTATCCAATCGTAGAAAATGCTTGGTAATTCTCGAGTTAAAGGGAACGCCCTTTCTCTCGCGTTTCTTCTTCGGCATATAAATAAGCTCGATTGGGGAAAACGAGATAAGGGTACTAAATTTATGTTTCCTTTTTCTCTCTCTCTCTCTCTCTCTCTCTCTCTCTCTCTCTGTCTCTCTTTCTGTCTCTCTCTCTGTCTCTTTCTCTCTCTCTTTTGGTCGAACAACTTCGTGATTCTTTTATCGACATATGTAATTCCATGAGTTCAGAGTACATTTTTCCTTTCTTATTTACTCTTTCGTAAGAAGAAGAAGAAGATAGAAGATAGAAGAGAAAGAGGAATAAGAGGAAGAAGAATGAATAGGACGAATAGGGTCGATCGTTTCTTTCGATATAAGAACTTATGCCCTTTTTTTTATTCTTTTCTTTTCTTTTATTCTTTCTTTTTTCTTCCTTTCCTTCACATCTAAAGTTCGACAAAGATAGAGAGAGAGAGAGAGAGAGAGAGAGAGAGAGAGGACGTTAGAGTTCGAATAAGAAGGTAATCCTGCAATTAGAAGACTCACGAGAGAAAGAGAGAGAGAGAGAGAGTAAAAGAGATAAGGATAGAATTGAATCGATAGAAAACGTGGTAGCACTGTTCGAGGGACAAGCAATTTGAAGGAAGTTCAGGAAACTAGGCTCGTGTCGATCGCTTTTCGATCGCTTGCTTTTAGGGAACAGTAACAATAATAAGGGCAAGGAAACGGGCGATAAAATCGATTAATCGAACTTGGTCCTGTAACTGAGAGAGATATCCTTATTAAAAAGATAATTCACGAAATGAGAGAGAGAGAGAGAGAGAGAGAAAGAGAGAGAGTGAGTGAGAGAGAGAGAGGTGATATCGATAACCGGTTATTATACCATCGTACTTACATGTGTATGTGTGTGTGTGTGTGTGTGTGTGTGTGTGTGTATCCAAACCGATATGTAAATTAATAAAGCATCGAGATAATGGGAATGAGAGAGAAAGAAAAAGGTATTGATATACAGAATAACCGCAACGTTTGATAACTAGTCATCAAGCGTTATTTCTACATCATTGCTTGTTTTTTGTTCGATCATTTTGTGTCACGTATAACATGTATTATATTGCTAAAACAATAAAGAAAAGCTGGGAGAGAGAGAGAGAGAGAGAGAGAGAAAGGAAAAGAGTTGCATATTCAATTTTTTTTTTACTCTTTTCTCTCTCTCTCTCTCTCTCTCTCTGTTCTCCTTACTTTCAATAATTTCAAGTATTATCTACTAAGAATATATCTATGCTTATAATGAAATTATAATATATCGTTAATGATATTCCATTTTGTTTTGTTTTGTTATGTTTTGATTAATTTTAATAATTAAGATCCCAATAGCCGATTGGAAAACTTTCGTATATAAATAATCTAGGTGGAATTTATTCTGTTAAATTTGTAATATTTTTAAAAAATTCAAAATATCAACAGACAACTTCTTTCGCCCTATATGATCTGACGATTTAAAAATGGGAAACGATATGACTGGATCAACGTAGAATCGTTGAAAGGATTTTCGAGGGTTCTCCGATTTATGAAGACGTCTGCTAGGGAGTGAATCTTGCGAAAGAAATCCTTAGAGATTTCGCGAAGGTTTCTTCTCATTCGTTCAAGAAAAAGAGTACGATAGAAGAACAAAAAATAAAGAAAGAGAAAGAGAGAGAGAGAGAGAGAGAGAGAGAGAGAGAGAGAATGAAAGAATGAAAAAGAATGAACGAGTTGAAAAAATAATAGGATAAAAGATCGAGAATCTATGAAAGATCACGATTTACGATCTAAATTTTAAATATACGATAAAAATTTCAATCGTATAAATTCGTTCAAAAGTCATCGTAATGATTATATATATATATATATATATATATATATATATATATATATATATATACATATATATATTTTTCTTTTTTTAAATATTGAATTTCATATCGTTCGAAAACATCGATTTGTTTGTACCTTCGAGATAATGACGATTCTAACAGAGTCGAAAGTAGAAAGTAATGCGAAAGGATCAAGAGGAGGAAATAAACGTCCAAGGGATTTTTCCGAAATCCTCGATTCGCCGACGCAGAGAATCGAAGGCGAATGAGATTTTCTTATATATATATATATATATATATATGTCTAACCTTTGCGATTCTCTTAACTGTGTCACATAATACATTGACTTTCCTTGTCATTTAGAAAAACAATTATTTTCTCTTAGTCACGTAGTATCGAAAGTAATCGTGATTTAAAAAAGAAAAAAGAAAAAAGAAAAAAAAAAAAGAAAAAATGTATTTCAAAATTAACTTTCAAAACACCTTGATCGTCGATAATCGAAACGAAGAATTTTTTTTTTTTTTTTTGAAAATATTCCTATTAAATTTCATACCAGACGTTCCACAAAGTTCGTTCATTAATTAAGAATAATTGATAATTAATTTGAACGAGGATTCAGAAATCTTCTTCTTTTTTTTTTTTTTTTTATATACTTCCTTTATTTCTCTTAAAACGTTCGTGTGTGGATGTATGCCAACGATCAAAAGAAAAAGGAAAAGGAAAACAAAAGTAAATTTAAAAACGATTCGAAATTTCTACCATTATAATACAATGGGAAACGAAAGTTTAAAGAAAAAAAAAAAAAAAAAAAAAAAAGAAAGAAAAAAAAAGTACGGGTGACAGACACGGCGGGGGGCGAGGGGGAGGAATAAACAAACGTAAGTACTAAAACTACGTAAGTAGCTGTTCTAACATGTTTTCAAGACAAATGAGGTTACTCTTTCCTCAGGATTACATTCGTGAAATTGACGTCGGATGAAAGAAAAAAAAGACAAAGGGAAAGATAGAAAAGACAATTTGTTTGAAACACAGCCATGAAGTTGAACGTTACTCACGTCTGACGTATAACGCACTGCTTACTGAATTACTTTTGAAACATAGAGGAAAACTACGTTTTCTGCGTATCTTATTTACGACGACATTTCGTTACATCGGTATATATATATATATACATACATAATATAAGAAGAAGAAGAAGAAGAAAAAAAAAACAGAAAAAAAGAAGAGAGAGAGGGGAAAAAAAATATATACATATATATATATATATATATATATATATATATATATATTTAATATATTCCATGATATTACTTCGATAGGATATATAAGTGTTAGTGTGGTAGACTTTTTACATCGTTTTGCTCGCAAACGTATCTCAAGGCTGTCTCATCAACCAGTGCAAGCCATCTCTCTCTCTCTCTCTTTCTCTCTCTCTCTCTTTCTGTCTCTTTCGTACTGATACTCTTTATACTTAGCTATCCCTTTTCCACCTTCATCCCGACATTTATAGTGGCCTCTAGGCTTCTTACTGGTATACCAGACGAGGCTCTTCTTCGTCTCTTTATTTCACGGCTAC